TGAGGAATGTTAGATTAAAAGAGAGAGGAATGTTAGATTAAAACCCACAAGAATTATGACAGGAATCTTTCCATCTACAACACTAGTCTGTTACTCTGACATTCATTCCAGGGTAGATATATAGGACTTTCCAAAGCACCACCTGATGCTGTGAGTGCCTCGAACATCAAAGGAGGTATTTTGTCTCAAGGAGAGTGACACTTTAGACAACAAATTTCTTAATTTATCTCCCCATTTTTAACATATGTATGGGAAATTACCTCTTCCCATGGTTCAAGATTCTAAAGAATCTCTTGACCCTTTCAAAACTACCCTAAAATGTGCTGAAAAGTACAAAATTGTGTCCAGAGTCATAATTCCATGTATACTTCTTAATCATAGGGATAAAAATTATCTGTTCTTAGAGACATCTTGCACAATCCTGTTCAATCCTGATTGGATTTCAACTGGGAAATTTGTGCTCAAAAGGGTTATTGTGGAGCTCTGAAAACCATTTACTCCCGAAATATATCCATTTTCATTTGGGATCAGGAAATAGAAGAAAAGAACAAAAACAAGGACAATTAGTGTGATTGCATACAGTTAAGCTTTCTCATGGCTCATCAGCTTGTTTTTAAGGACAAAGTCACATTACAGAAACATTTTTTTGATGCTAAGGCTTTTCTGGATTTCACTCTTCGTGTGCAGAATAGTTCCATGTGGTATACAAGGCTTAGGGTTAGCTTGCTGGCTGACTTTTGATTTTTTCCAATCTTGTTTTTGATAAAAGGAGCACAGACCAAACCTGGCAAGTTTAATAACAAATGTAGTCCATCAGCCATCATAATGGAGGTAACTGTACTCCCCGCTGTCCTTGTAAGCCTTCACCTTGTGTAATGAATGGGCTATGTTGAAGAGGACAAGTTGAAACCTCTTGATCTCCTTCAAAGACACTACATTGTGACATGCCATACTCTTTATGATAGCATGAAGGAAACCATGGGATTTTAGTTTGATGAGACAGAAAAACAAAAATGGAAGGGATAAACCAAATAGGAATTGGGATGATTTTTGAAACTATGATTTACTTAGCGTCACTGATTTAACTCTGTGAAGCAATGTAAAAAGAAATAGTGACAAATATTTTCTTAATTTTTCCCTGGTTTTTGCTTCTTCTTTAATTTATCCCTCTTTCTTTCTCAAATTATTGTGCGTAATTATGAGTGAATACGATTACTGGTATGTCAGCTTGGAAGTAGTTGTCTTACTCTAAATTTTTACCTAGTTTCCAAATGCTACTCAAGAGTAAATTAAGCAGTTTACAATTAATAAACGTGGCTGCAATGTGACGAATTGAATTTCAAATTCTTAGACCAAAAGCACTATCGTGGACTTACCATTCCTCCCAGTAAATTTTGTTCTTTTCCTCCTTCTCATTAGCCATCTAGAGAATTAGCCCAACAGGTGTGTATACTCGATCAAGATCATTTATTTCTTTACAGGAAGCTTTCTAATAATTAAGTTTCTTTTTAGATAATTATAACTGTACAGTGTTCAACGCTGATTATGGGGGTTGGGTTTATCTTCTGCATCAGTGTGTGCATCAATAATTTACATAGATTCTTTTGGATGGAAATTCATAAAAAGTATTGAAAATGAATATCAACAACCCCAAGAAGTGCATTCGTAGCAGATGTCTTAATGTATTCGTTACTTCTATTAAAAATATATCTTTGCGTTACCTGTCTAGACCCATGATCAGGTATCATTGTTCAGGAAGCACTTACCGAGTCCACAAGTCAAGTAAGCTTCGCTGTTAATTTTTCTATGTCTTCTTTGATTTAATGCTCAGTGTTGTTGTATTATTACAGGATGATATATAGCAAATTCTTTAACTTTTATTTGTTTTTACTACAAATGTTGCAGTCAGTGAACTCATTACTGAATTCATCACAAAGTGGGATCATTTGTTACAAGTGTCCTGTGAACTGCTAGGATCAATAATGCCAAATGTTTTTAGTATAGAGATAGAACATGAGAGATGATGATTATCTTAGACAACAAGAGATGTCAATATTTCAGGCGTGACGATAGCACGTCAAAATATTGCCAAATTACAGCACTGGACAGCATCTCATTGATATATCCAACTATTTCTAATTGCAGAGAGGTGCTTTTGATCGGAGGAGAGAATGTGAAGGCACAAATTCAGACACTGAGTGAGGGGGTAAGAGTACGGTGATTGTTTTGCAAACCAAAACCAACTTAGGAATCACAGCAGCCAATCACAAGAGTGATCGTCGTTCTCTCTTGCAATAGCTAATCAGAACGCGAGAAAATATCTCACGGATCCCATGAGAATTCAAGCAAGTACACGAGAACGGGAAAACATTAAGGACCAAGTCACGTGGACATAGTTTTGTATCTGATTGGTTGAAATGGCGGCGCGAGGTGTCTGGACCAATCACGTGGTGAAGTAAAGTAGAACCAATTCCAAAGCAATCCACGATTACTTCCGCAACTCCATTTAAAGTCTTCTACCAAAAAGGAGGCATTTTGAGTGACCCTTCTAAGGTATTCTCACCTGCCTCATCTCCTCTCTTTGTTTTATTTCTTACTTGAACTGTAGGTGGACATCTTGACCGGAACACCTGGAAAGCTCGATGATTTCATTTCAACTGATAAAATCAGCCTTTCTCAGGTAAATATACCCACCTCTTTACTGTATAATTTTTTTTCCACCAGGTTTCACATCTTCTGCATTTTTATAGTGTTCTTCACGAGTAACTTCTGTAAAGAATCCTTTCACTTTTTCTGTCAGGGGAAATGAAAAACTTCATATGCAATACACCAATTCTGTTATTAGGCTGGCGCAATAAAACGCCAACTGCTTTACCTAAGAAGGTAATTTGGTTTTATCAACTGAGTTGATAATCAAAATTAGCCATAGCAAAGCTGACGCTTCAGAGTCAAGTTCAAAATTGCGCATAAAATCGTAGCCGATCCTTATCTCTTCTTTCGACTTAAGGGCTTTTTCGATAGGGTGAGTTGTCAATAATTTCTGATTACATTCCTTTTCAGGTTCGCTTTTTCATTTTAGATGAAGCGGTAAGCATGTATCTATAATCTTTCAGTCATTCATTATTTCTTTCTTTCTTTCTTTTTCTCTCTGTCGTTTCCTTCCAAACTCGATCATTCATCTTCCTCAAGTCCCTTTCTTCTTTCTTTTCTTTTTTTTTTTCTTTCGTTTCTTTGTTTACTTCTTCAATCATTCTTCTTTCATTTATGCATTGCCTTGCTCATAATCATTTAAACTTTCACCTGTCCTAAATTCAAGCTTATCTCTTTTGATTATTTTGTTTGATCAAATATTTTTTGAATGATACTTCAAATCTTGTCAACCGTTTCACTCTCAAGATAACAAGTAATTCTCTTTACCGTCTGCTATACAATTCTTATAATGTTATTTGGAAGAATTTGCCATTGGATCAACCAATAATCCCCCTGTCTTGCTCGCTCATGGGTGACAAAGAGTTAAAATTCTTACCTAAAATGACACGCAGCCACATTATGTCGGTATCTCTTTTATTTTGATTAGGATGGTTTGCTGGCACAGGGAAATCGAGAGCTAATCATGAGAATCTTTAAAAAGATTCCAAAAACGAGCCCTGACGGTAAACGGTTACAGGTAAATTATTTTACTCCTCTGTTTACTTTCAGTTCTTATATTGACAGAGGTGAGAATTGTGCTAGGGAAAAAAAACACACAATTCGAAATGATGGATTCAAATACTGAACGAGGCTTAGCCTAGTTCGGTCAGAGGAACTTCAACTCCAACCTAAAAAGAGCGAGTTTACTTATCTGCGACTTTGCGACGAAAAAAAGTCTCTAGACTAACCTTTTCGACACAATATTAAAACTGATTGATTTGCATTGAAAGACTGAGAGTTTCTTAATAAGAAACAAGAGCGACAGAGGCGAAAAGGTTATGATTATCAATGGTTTGCTGTCCAAATTACGATGGATACAAGTTGACATAGCATTCAAGGTACATATGGGATTGTCTGAAGTCCGAAACATAACACAAACCTTCAAAGAGCATGAAATGTAGGGAAAGAGCGTTAGAAGTGTTGTAAGTAATTAACTCATGGAGATTGTACGTTATAGGCCATAAATGCACTCTGGTCAGTCAATGAGAAAGTAGAGTTTCTTCCTTCGCTCGAAATTTTGTATCTGTGAGATTGTTTTCCGTTGCGTGCAAAATTGATAAAAACCTTTTCCATTCTGTTTGACAGATGATCGTGTGTTCGGCAACCCTTCACTCAGTGGAAGTGAAAAAGTTAGCTGTGAGTATTTTTTAATCTTTTCATTCAAATTTAACTCTCAGTTTTACGCGGAAGTTTTTCCTCTTCAAAGTTTCCAGCCATCGTCGTTACAATTGAAGGTTGATGAAAATGTTGATTTTTTATCAAGTTTTTCCACTTATCCCTACCTCGATAACAAGCTGCTGATTATGAAATGCGCCTGCGCTCCTCTCTTGAAAGCATTCTTTGGCGGAAATTGAGCGTCCATATCACCTAAATGCCTTCACCTGTGTATGAGTTCTTTAAGGTTCTAAAACGTCCTAAGCACATCCTAATTTAGAATGATGTAATGACAGCTTGTTGACGTCTATTGCAATATTTATTGCTATTTTTGGGTTGTCTGAAAACTTAAATTTACAGCCGTGTATAGTCTCCACACTGAAAGAGGGTATTTCTCATCCAGGATAGAATCATGCATTTTCCAACCTGGGTTGACCTCAAAGGAAAGGATAGTGTGCCAGAGACTGTTCATCATGTGGTAAATATATAAAAACAGGGCTCATTTAATAACCATGCTCTTTATTTTGGTCACTTTTTCCTCCTCTTCTGAAGTTGCAGCGTTTTCGCTGAACGTTGCCCACAAGGTCCATTTGAAAAGTTTTGCAGGATTTGTAAATGGGATGACGACTGTGCATCGGGTTTCATCAAACAGTTAAATCCTAAGATTTTGCATTAAGATTCCATGCATTTCCCTGTAAATTGTTAGGGAGGGTTAGGCGTCACAGAAAGATAATTCTTGTCACCTGAAAAGATTTTGTGTGTTGATATTTTATGGAGAAATTGCTCCGTTATCAGTTCTAGATTTTGAGAGGTCAAAGACCATTTTTCTACGAATGATGGTTTGGAAAGAAAGGAGACTCAAAGAGTAAACGAGGGAAGTTTCTCCTCAGTGCAACAGTTTGTCGTTGCAGACTTTTGAAGTATTTTAGTCCTTCACCTTAAAGTATAAAGCTGTTAATTCTCGCTTTGAAAATTTGCTGCTATTTCAAGACGATTGAATCATTGCTAAGCACCACTTTATTCTCATGAATTACCGGCATGCAATCTCCTTCGCAACCTTTCTTTGGGGTGTCACGTAGAGCTCAGACTGCTGTTGGAGTGAGCGTTACGTAACATCTCAAAGAATAGCCGCGTAGGAGAACAGAGGTTGTTTTTGGAAAGCAAAGGGTAAAGAAGCACAGCAGATCTTTTGTTATTTCCGTGGCAGGTCTGTCGTGTGGATCCTAGGGTGGACACTTCGTGGCAACAACTCAGATCTGCAGTTAAGGTTTGTTATGTGAGAATTCTTATTGAGGTCCTATCCACTAATACCGACTTGTAGCTTTCATCTCTGTAGCAGCCGTGATAATTCTTTGTCTGCTTATGCCTGATTTAAAAGTGTGCTCTGCGGTTTTAAAGGAAAGCAAATTAAGTTTTAAAAAATGCGTCAACTCTGTTTAATTCATTTCTGCTAGAGTATGGCCGACCTCTGGCCACGTGTGCTGTACCTATTCTTCACGCATGCGCGTACAAAATTTGAGTTCCCGCACTCGAGGAACGAAGTATTTCTCTTTTGGTAGTTACTCTATACTTTTCCTGGTTTCAGACTGACGGAATTCACGCAATGGACAAAATAAAGCCAGGCAGTCAGAGTCAAGGTAAGAGAATTTAAAACTTCCCGTGTAGGAATTGAATTCTGTAATGTTGCAAATTGTGTGCAATTTTCTTCTTGCAGAATCTTTGTCTGAAGCTGTCAAGGTTCTGAAGGTTGGGTACCTCGTCAAAGCTATCCAGGAACACAAAATGGACCAGGCTATCATTTTCTGTCGTACAAAACTGGATTGTGACAATGTGGAAAACTATCTGTTAACCCTGGAAGGAGGTAGGTACATACGAGAGACAGAATTGCTAATAAATCCCTTTTCACTTTGCACTGATTGCAACACTCGCCGAAAGAACGAGGGAGATATGCGCGACCCGTTCCCAGTCCCTCTCCCTTTACTCTGCTCTTCTGTAGCGTATCGATTGCTAACTGGACGCCTAAAACAGGCTAATTGTTGATGTTGTTGTTGTTGTTGTTATTATTGTTTCGCTAACTGTTATTTCAATATGTCGTTCAACTAATCTCTTCACTCCTACCCAGGTCCAAATGCCATGGTCAACGAATATTCTTGTGTGTGTCTCCATAGTGACAGACCTCCAAAGGAAAGAAAAGCGAACCTCGAGTTGTTTAAGGTAGTAGAAGCCGATTAGGAAAAAAAAAAAAAGGTGCAAGTTAGTGTAGGGGGGCACATCACTGCTGAAGCCAAGATTGGTTTCCATAGTGACTGTGAGTTATTCTTCATGTATTACAATTCTTTCCGGGGGGAATGCTATTACGGGAAAATGTCCCTGACAATTTGTTTGATCTTGTGATTAAAACTCAGCAGCTCATTTTGGACACAAACAGACACGCCACCTCTAGAAATACTCGAAGAGCGCTTATGTCTCTACAATGTCTACTTGTAAACCCATATTCGACGCATTTTTCCTGGCAAGGAAACCTAATTCTACGGCTCCTCTCATGCGAAAAAAAGAACTTTGACAGTCGTGTGAACAAGTGTTTTCTTCTTTATCCTTGTTTTTTTTTTTCAAACGTTATTTCAATTTTTACGAACGTTTATGCAGTGCTCAGTAGCCGTTGGCAGATGTCTCCATGAATGCTGAATATGGCGTATTTATTAAAAACTATGTATTTTCATCGTCAGATTGCGGAATAAAGAATTTCTTTTTCGGTGAAAGGGGTCTTAAGGAACAACAACAACAATTGCTTTTTGATCATTGAAAAGCTTACCAAAGATGAAAGACAGAGTTGATTTTTTGGAATCTTCAATCTAAGGGCGATTAAGTGTGGCGTATTCTTTTATTTCATTTTCTTTTAATACGTAGGATGGCTAGGCAAGATTTCTAATCTGTACTGACGTGGCAGCGAGGGGTATCGATATTTCTGGTGTACCTTATGGTAAATATACCTATTAATTCCACATTTTGGAAAATACTTGGTGGAAGCATGCACAGAATTTCTCTGAACTTGCCGCGGCACGACCAAAAACACCCTTGAAAACAGTTGAGAGTTTGATATCAGTGGTGAACCAGTGTATAGTACTACAATTGAAAATTGGAAAAATTTGGTCAATCCACCACGTCTGTTGGTTTTCAAGAGTGTTTTCAAAGAGGGTGGGGAAGAGACAATTTAACTTGCCGCTTAATGCTGAAAGGACGGGTCAGAATGAAATTTGTAGTTGTCCGCCGATATTTATGGGGGGAGAGGAAGACGGAAAACCGAACACACTGGTGCAACAACACACTATCGGTCTCTTGTGGCCTCGGGCCAAGAGAATATGAACAGTTGATATTTTCTTGCCTCAGGCCAAAGTTTCTCTTAGGGCTCCAATAAGGAAAGACTGTTCTCTTACTATCTGCCGTTGATACACAGCTGGAAGATAGCGAGGTGAAATGACATTTTACTTGGCAAATCACCGTTACCACCACTTTGTTGTTGTTGTTCTTTGCTTGTTTATTTGTTTGTTTTTTGTCTCTTTCGTCAGTCGTGAATGTAACATTTCCAGACGATGAGCAAAACTACGTGCACAGAATTGGACGTGTAGGAAGGGCAGAAAGGTAAGTTTATGTCGTTTTTAGACCAGAAACGGTTGGTAATATCTCTAGTAGAGTAGAGTGAAACTGCCAACATAGGGGATGGTTTTGATGGAATGAGAGCGATCATAACAGTTTGCATGTATCAGCTGTGAACGGATATTGTGAGTAGGCTGCGCAGTTATGTGGTTTAGAACGTTTACTTTGAATTGAAGAAGTCGCAGTCCAACGTTCAAATCCTTCAGTGTTCGATTTCATCTGCGCCGCTCGTTTTTCTACCACTCGTTTAGACTCGTGCACCCATACATTCTTGTAGCGAGCCAGTCAGTGTAGTGGCAGGCAGTCCATCAGTCAGTTCGTAAGTAAGTCAGTCGGTCGGTTCGTCCGTCCGTCCGTTAGTCCGTCAACGATGCAGGTGGACATGCTGTGAATTAGTTAATCAGTTAGTCAGCCGATCAGGCAAGCAGGCGGGCAGTCAGTCAGGAAAGAAGGCCAGCAGTTAGATGGGTAGGTAAGCTGGTAATCGGAAGTCAGTCAGTCAGCCACTCATCCGTCGGGCCAACTGTCTTGACGTACTGTATGAACATTTCTTCTCAATTTTGCTACTTGTAGCAAAGAGACTTGAATCTATTCTTTGTCTTGCAGGATGGGTCTGGCAATTTCACTCGTCTCAGAAATTAAAGAAAAGGTAGTGTTAAGTTTACAACTTATTAGTTTATGCCCACTTACATCTGAAAAATATTTTCGTGTGAACAAAGAACTTTCACTTTTGCATTCATCCGATTTCCAACATGTTTCAAACTCTTCAAGAACTTAGTGACAATATCAGTTGTTTAGAAAAGAAAAAAACTGATAAAAGTAGCTTTTTCGCCGAAGGGAACTCGTTCTTACATCGTTCTCGACTATAGTAGTTAAAATAGTGATAATAAAATACGGGCATGATTGGGTAAGTGACTACGGCCAGGCTATTTGTTTTATCTTTGTATATGCGTGCTCTTCAGGTATGGTATCATACCTGTCCCAATCGTGGTAAAGGATGCAACAACACGCAGCTTAGGGATAAAGGGGGCTGTTCAATATGGTACGACGAGAAAGAGGTAAGTACCCTGCAACAGAACCTTGCACATCTCAACTTGGTTTGACACAATCTTCTCCTAGGCGACGCCTTTCACCTCTTCCTTTGTATAGGGCGGCATGATGCACTTAACAATAATCTTAAAAGACAAAACACTTGCAAATGAGCCAATCGCATGTCACCTATCTGGGTAATTTGCAATGGTAAGCGCCCCCTCATTGGCACAATTTCAGGTGGGGAATCCAGACAAACCCAGGCCCATAATGCACTTTTGTCCTATCCCTTTTTTTATTTCCCAGGGAGCCTTCTCTTTCTCTCATTCTCTCTTTCTCTCTTTCGCCCTTTCTCTTTTTCCCAAGGCTGGGATCAAACCATTCCCATCGGACTTTCTGTACTTGTTCCTCCATTCAATATACTGCTCCTCCTTTTGGAATCGAGTGAAGCTCCGTGCGAATGCAATTCTGTTTACCGTGATTTTTTTTTTCTTTTCTTTTTTTTTTAATTTTGTGCCTCGAAAGTAACACCTGGAGCCTTGTTCTCTGAACCGAAACTTCGGTCGGAAGGGAGTTTGTGTCGGATGCTTAGTTTAGAACAATGTAGTGAAAGGGAAAGAAAAATTTGCAAATTTTGCGGTCGCACTTGCCAACAGGATCCTTCACTTTCTGAACTCTGGTAACTATCCGAGTGTCTTATTTGAGTGTTCGTCAAGGTAGATGTGAGACAGAAAATTTACTTGAGGGTGGTATAGTACTCTTTTTGCCACAGCTGAAATGACTGCCCAGGAGTGGATGGCAGTGGTCAGCCATAATGTAGCTCTGCGAGGTGATCTCTTTAGGTCATCTCTTTAGTTCTATTTTGATAAACACTCTTAGATGTTTTCTTTGGCATAGTATCTAGCGGCCGTGGAGGATCATCTGAAAGAGACAATCTCTTGCATAGAACCCAACATGAAAGTTCCCCGTAACGAGTTTGATGGTAAAGTCACCTACGGCAAGAAACGTAGAGGAGCGGGTAAGTGTAACTTTTCGTGATTTTGTTGTTACTCTTTCGAAAAAAAGGGCACGTCTGAAGCCGTTATTAAGGAGATGAACTTAAGTTTTAACGTAATTAACACATTAGGAAGAGTGTTGCATTCATTGTGAAAGTAACAAATGGCTGATCACATTGAAACTCCACTCAGAGGACCCCCTTGGTACTTGATAAATGCCCCCTGAATAATGGTGTCCCTTTTATGGAAGTAACTGTCACAAAGGCGCTTATTTTCTGTCGGGAAAAAAGGGTGTGTCCCATGACAGTGGTACTCCCCAAGCAAGTTTCCTAGGGTACATTCTGATAAGTTTTGATTTTCTCCGAGTCCGGCTCTGCCCTTCCTCGAGGAGAAATCACCCCTCTATTGGGTATATATCGTTTAACGTAAGTTCTTCAAGTGGCTGTCGTCTTTAAAATGAATGATTCGTTATTCCTTCGTTTGTTAGGGCCCATCTTTGAGTCACACACCGCTGAACTCGCGCCATCAGTCAGAGAACTACCAGAAATGGAGTACAAAGCACAGACGTCCTTCTTAACTTTACAGCACAAAAAATGGATGAAACATTAAGATGTCTTCATCTTTAGTCTACAATACACTGCCTGCGATACACTGTGTTTCCCTTACTCCCCACTCCCCATTCCCCATTCCCTATTCCCCATTCTGCATTCTCCACTTCCCCCCCACTCCCCACTCCCCACTCTCCACTCCCCACTCCTCACTCCTCACTCCCCTCTTTGTTCGTACTCAAATGAAGGAAGAGAATGGGAAAGTCTGAAATAAACCAGAGGAAAAACAGACATTTCAAGTAGAGCTTAAAATAGTTGTTTGGGAAGCCTAAGTTGAGATGGCGGAAGAGAAACTCTTGACATGCGCATTGGGATATAGCGTTGTGTTGAGTTTTACTGGTCAATAAGAACTTGTCAGACTGGCTCTTTCTCTTCTCATGGAGACGTTTCGATAAGAAGTAAGGTGATGTGAAGAATTGCCTGTTGACAATATTGTATACCACGAAAAAAGATGATATATTTAAGAATTAGATAACGTTACGTTTTCGTATCATTTGTATAAAAACAAAATTCAAATAAAGCTATTGTCGGATGATGCAGTCATTTGTCTTAATCATGGTTACAAGTAAACAAAACTTTCATTTAATGTATGTAAAAAAAAAAAAAAACTTCACTAACGCGACTGAGTCAACATGAAATACCTTTTTCAACATACCTCTTTGAATGACATCTTATGCCCTATCCTTACTTGAACAACTTTTAATTTAGTCATCGTCCCATTGAGAGCTTGTTTTGACTTCTTAACGTCTCAATTTGAATGAGATAGGGACCTTCCACAGTTACGACGTCGACTCTGAGGAAAATATCGATTCAAAAATTCATTTACATTTGCTCCAAGATTTTTCCAATGGGTTAATGACTTAACTTCCCATTTTGGCATCCAGCCTAACATGACGGTGTCGTGGAGTTCCGAGCAGAAACTATAGTAATTTCCTGTTGCAGTTTCTGCTCCCGGACTACGCATGATCATCGAGGGATTTCGCAATGATATTTTGCAGAGGACAACCAGGGAATTCAACACAGTTTCAACACAAGGGTCAAGCTATAATTCTACCCTTAAAGATCATATTTTTTATTCCAATCATTTGTGATCGCAGTCGCCGTACCACTTTGCGTAAGGTCTCTAAACTTTACATTTTGTTTCCGTCTGCAATTTTCTTTGAAGATAGACTCAGAACGGTTAGAGGCCTATAGTACGTGATTCTAATTTATGTAACGGCGATTAAACACGTTCTGGCTGTGAATGAACTGGAAATAAATTATACTGCACTTGGCAGCACTTCGCACAATACGTGGATTTCTCGTTCATTCTGCAGCGCGAATGTGCCCACGTTTATCTTTAAAACATTCTCTCCGGTCTCTAACCTAATTAATTCCTTAGTTAAAGCCCAATATTACCAAACCACAAAATGTTTATTTTGTTCGATCGAAGTTCTGCTCACTAGAACGACACATTGTTTAAATTTTGCAATCCCGTTGTTACTTCCTCTGTGAGAGAATTCATAATTGCACGTTTTTCAATTACCCTCTCTTGAGAGTTTCACTTATCCGTTGATTATTTGCGTAATTTTATCGGTTAAGTTCCCAGGTTAGCTCATTACTCATTTTAGGTCAGCACGATTTGGTTTTAAATGCTAAAACGGCCACTAACAGTCGATACATCGACGTCAAAGCGCGCAAGAATTAGTTTTATTCTTCCTCCAGTTGTAGTCCGCGTCTCAAAAACGAACTGCTGAAGTTCTCTAGCCACCAAACTAACATTCTCGATTCTATGAAACACTGAATTTCATTGATAAAATATTCCAGAGTAATCATTGTTATTTAGGGGAAGGAAAAAATGAATTATGACGTTTCGAAAGCAGTGTACCACAGTATCGATAAAGGCGGACCGTGATATGTGGGCGACGAAGGGCGTACTGAAGTATGTCACGCAAGGTGACCCTCGATCTTGTTCTTCGAGTGTAATTCTCGTCATTCTTTTCTTCTCTGACCACTTATATCTTGTTTTTTGTATTTTTGTTTTTTTCCGTATTTAACTAGATATTTAATGTTTTCGGGTGGCTTTTAGACTAAAAGTTAAACAGAAGAAGTGTGAATATAACGTAACACTGAAACCTGAATGTACCGTGACTCAACTTATCTACATAAACATATTCTGGCGTGGCGTAACGCAATAATAGAAACTTTCGACTTCCGCAAATACCTTTCACATTCAAATTAGGTTCGCACAGTGATGGACGCGAGAAGCAGAGCGGCTGCTGCCTTACTGTTAGATTTCCTTGAACGATCCGAGAACGACGAGGAGTTTGAAGGAGAATTTGATCAGGAATTGAGCGACGATTTCGATGATCGTAGCAGCGACGAAGAAGAACAAACTCGGCCGACGTTGGGAGGCTATGAATACGAATTTGTTGATAACGTTTCGGACAATCAAATATGTCCGGTGTGCCTTTTACCTATGAGAGATGCGGTCCAAACTAAAGAGTGCGGCCATCGATTCTGTAAAGATTGCTTGCACGGAATTCTGAGGTATGTCTTTCACGGGATGATTCGCATCTTAATTTAACGGCCAGCTTCTTCGACAAGAACCGTTAAGACTCGTTACAAGGAAGTACAGCGCTGGGATTTGTGTATCAACTTTCAAGGCGAACAAAACAGTGAATGATTTTAATTTCCTTCCTTTACTGTACACTCCAAGCAAGTAGGGTTTGAATAAAATGGCGGGTGTTGCTCTTATTCATTCAAACAAATTATTAGCGATTTGTTTACGTTTTCGTGCATGGACCAAGTCTTCGACGCAATATTTTCCTTCGCGAAAAGTTTATAGGCAGAAGTGCGGCATGAGTAGCGAGAAGACATGAATTTTCGCACACAAATATATGTCGTTTAAGTCAATTAACTCGAAAAAGAGAACTCAATTATTGGCCTACTTAAGCGCTACGCACTTGGAAACACAGAAAAGAAATCCTTTCTTCCATTTTAATGAGATTCATTCCATGTGTTTTTGTGTCGGCGATGCTTTAAAGCGTCGATTTACGTACTTCCGGTAAGGAAAACCGCTTACCTAAGCTCCATCTCGATAATGTTCAAACGTAACACGGAAAAGTTCAAATAAGATATCGCCAGAATTTTTCTGCGTGAGTTATTATTATTTCGCTGAAACTTGAAAGTGTGCGACCTATTGCCTTTTTTTTTTTCAGCATCCGATACGAAAGTATTTCAGGCAACGCGTTCTAAATTGTGCTTACTGTTTCGTAAGGAAGCCATTCTCCATTCTCCATTGATACGAAAGTATTTCAGGCAACGCGTTCTAAATTGTGCTTACTGTTTCGTAAGGAAGCCTTCGTTATTTATGGCGGGGGAGGGCTGGCAAGAAGGGGGGATCGTGGAAATTTAGGAACTAAAATGGGGGGTCATTAGAAAAATTTGGGAATAATGTAGGAGGGTCAAAAGCTTTTTTTTGTTACATATCATCTACAAATGTGGGTTTAAGTTTGTAGAACATTTCTACTACCCGCCATACAAGATATAGAGAACAGTAGCTAACTTTGCATACACAGCTGGAAAGCTATTGTTCTTCAAGCTATACACAGTACCATACCAAGCTGGACACAGTACCATAGGATATCTCTTATATTATGTTACCCATTTTGTATCAACGCTAGATTTTAAATTCTAGAACTGTATTGTTAAGGTGTTTTTGCAATAACATTAAATATCTGAAAGATATTTTTCATTTCTTTTAACCTAGCTGCTTTGATAGTCCAAAGGGGGAGGGGGGCTAGCTATTTTTGCAATGACAGCTAGAGGGGTCATGACATTTTTAATTCTTATAGAGCAGGGTCAGGATACTTTGTTTAGTCTCACTGAAAATCTTGCGAGCCCACCCCCTCCCATAAATAATGAATGCTCCCTAAGCGGCAGAGGGAGAGAATGACTCGTAAACGAAACACGCCATTGTCCTCAGGTTTACCTGCTTTTATAGTATGATTTTCATTGCGTTTACAAAGTTTCTTTTACATCGTTTGGTGAAAAATTGGATTTCTTTCTTCTGTCTAACAGAACGTATACAGAAATTGACGAATATGTATCTATCAGTATGCGCGATTTCCCACGAAAATCGATCCAAAACCTTTAAGTTTCATTAAGAAATAATTTCTAATGAATTATTTTGTTCTCAATATATTTGATAATTGTGTAATTACTCTAATATCACCTGTGGATAAAAGTTATTTCAAGGGCATGTTAAGCAATATTTTCAGCATATGCTGTAATTTCGTGACAGATAAGTGCTACGTTTAGTCACACATCCCACTTTCTTATCCCGGTGTGTTTTCTGTTCTCGTTCTACAGAAGTGACCACCCAGTTTGTCCGAATGACAGGCAGAATATCAAGCGAAAAGGCGGGGTTAGTAAAATATCTGTTGACCAATTCTTCGATTGAAAGTTAAACGAACTGTAAGCTTTACTTTCTAAAGTACTTAGTAAGGGTTGGAGTTCCCTAATTCTAACGAAAATGAAACTGAATGGGAAATGTTTGTGTTCCAATGGAATATGAAGCCAAAGGGAAAATGAAGCTTTATTTTCTTAAGTGTTTCAGTAAGGGTTGCAGTTCAAGAGGTTAAGAGAAGAAAATAATACCATTTCAGTTTAAGCGACGTGCGAGGGAACATGTTTTTATTCATTACTATTTATAATCGCTCTATGAAAGAGGTAAAATTTCTCAGTTTAGTAAATTGAGCATTTTAATGAGCAACCTTGTTTTATTAAATTGATAAAAATGATTGGGAATTGCTTTATTCTACCGAAAAGGAATAGAGACAAGGGAGCTCTTTAACCCCAAGGAAAAATGAAAACACCAGGGAACTTTTCGATCCATACGTAAACAAAACCAACTGAGTTGGGGAAATATATCATCCTGACACCGAGAAAAAAGAGAAGCTGAACAGGCGAGGGGAATTGTCATCTCCGACAAAAATGAAATTGAAAGGGAGATATTTATGTTGTTACGGAATATAAAAACGAACTCAGAGAGGGTATGAATAATCTTTTCCAAAAAGGAAACTGTTGGAGTAAACCTTATCACAGCATGATACTAGCCTGCGTCGCAAACCGCCGGTATACCGGGGATTGTGTGACACGTCCGGCTGCAACGCAGGTTACATGATACTGAAGTGCAAGGTTTAAAGGCCGGTCATTAACACATTTCAAACCACGGTTTTACGCGAGCAGTGGGCCTCACGGATTCTATGTAAGAGGGTTAACTTAATTACATAATTATAAATGTCCTTTGAGCCCTCGTGACAGTGTTTACAATATAAATGTTCAGATAAGAGGTTCGGCTAAATTGAAGATGCCTTAAAAACAAGGTTCTATCAAACGGCTACTCTTTGTTTAAATGACCGGCCCTGTGGGACCAGATATTAGTAATCACCTGAGCCCAGTTTAAGTACGAAGGCCAGTTAGCACTAATCCAGGGTTAAGTTTTAATGCAGGTTTTTATATTTCTCAGTTCAAAAGCCGTCTTAGGATAATTTTCCCAATTCCTTTTAGAGTATTCGGTCATCAAATTGCAGACAAATGGAATTAAACTGAATTTTCTTTTAAAACTTTCAGATCTGAAATCAAATTTCACGCTAACCGTCATGGGGTTATCTTAATCCAGCTTTGAACAACCCGGCCCCGTAGGGGTGGGAGGATTTTAGTTGTGTCAGAGTATAAATGTAAGGTTGTGTAGTATTCTCAAGATTCCGCCTCACTGGCAGTCACTTTTTGATAATCTTACTTTTNACACATTTCAAACCACGGTTTTACGCGAGCAGTGGGCCTCATGGATTCTCTGTAAGAGGGTTAACTTAATTACATAATTATAAATGTCCTTTGAGCCCTCGTGACAGTGTTTACAATATAAATGTTCAGATAAGAGGTTCGGCTAAATTGAAGATGCCTTAAAAACAAGGTTCTATCAAACGGCTACTCTTTGTTTAAATGACCGGCCCTGTGGGACCAGATATTAGTAATCACCTGAGCCCAGTTTAAGTACGAAGGCCAGTTAGCACTAATCCAGGGTTAAGTTTTAATGCAGGTTTTTATATTTCTCAGTTCAAAAGCCGTCTTAGGATAATTTTCCCAATTCCTTTTAGAGTATTCGGTCATCAAATTGCAGACAAATGGAATTAAACTGAATTTTCTTTTAAAACTTTCAGATCTGAAATCAAATTTCACGCTAACCGTCATGGGGTTATCTTAATCCAGCTTTGAACAACCCGGCCCCGTAGGGGTGGGAGGATTTTAGTTGTGTCAGAGTATAAATGTAAGGTTGTGTAGTATTCTCAAGATTCCGCCTCACTGGCAGTCACTTTTTGATAATCTTACTTTTATACTCTGATAACGACGATTACCTCTCCATTCCCAATGAAAACCAGGTGATCCTACTAAAAATCCCCTGCCCTCCCCTCCCCCCCCCTCCCAGGCAATAAATGATGACTGGTTCCTAATCCTTCTCTGCTATTCTTTGATAGTTCTTTTCTGACAAAGCCTGGGCTAGGGATATCTTATGTCTTCGTGTAAAGTGCAAACAGAGCGCCACAGGATGTGACTGGATTGGTCAACTGCGACATGTGGAGGTGAGCGGACCCAATATTTTGTGACTAATGTACAGTACTGTACTTTCTTGTTTTGGTCATACCTCCTGTTACTCTTTTTTGCTCTTGAAAAATATTTTTAGTAAAGGGTGAATCCTCACACAGACTTGGAGCTCTTTCTGATTGAGTGTCTTACAAGCAACACATATTATAACATAAGCAAAGTAAAGTGCGCGCTCTGATCGGGAAATAAAGTGTCCACCATTTGCCCATGGGTGTACGCTGCTGACGTGAGCAAATGCAATCGTTTTCACGCGCTTGTTTTTTTCTGGTCACGTAAGAGTTTTTAACTAAAAGGAAACTCTTTTGCTACAATGTATCAACGTTATGTTATAAAACAAATGGTAAAGACCTCAGTGTACACTGTTGAGTTGTGGATGCACCTGGAAGGCTTGTTAAGCACTCATGAAGCTAGAGTCGCTCTCAGCTATCGCCTCGCGCGTCTCTTACGCTTCGCTCGCGCTTAGCAACCCTCCGCGTGCATCCATAACTCAATTGTGTACGCTGTGGTGTTTACCATTTGTTAAATAATCACAGCTACCAATCACATGGAGCCAATCAGAACAATGAAAACATTTAAAACAAGGAAACTACCCAACGTGCTGGAAAACGCGGGTAACCAAAACTGCGATTCGCTGCAGTCTTACACTTTGATTGGTGGAGCAGGACGCTTCAGTTTCCTAAAACAATTATGGAGCATGATATTGCAGAGTCGATCCAATCCCGAACTTTTTGACACACAATCAGGTAAACTGTCCTGTTTTTACATTTTTCACTTTTCTTAGGAACACCAAAAGAACTGTCTCTATGAACAAGAGCAGTGCCGCGATTGTGAAGCAAATATACAAAGAAGACACCTCGACAATCATTACAAGGAGGAATGTCCAAAGAGAATAGTAGAGTGTGTTCACTGTCATAAAACGTTCCGTTTCTTCAAAAAAGCCGTAAGTATTACAGCCTAGACCCATTTTTATCTTTTTAGAACAATCCACGATGGATCACATGCAATTTTCACAGACAAGTTAGAGACACAATGACAATTTCTTTGCCTTTATTTGTAATAAATCACTTCATAAACCGTCATGCCATTGAACGTTGAGAACGGACAGGTTAGAAAAAAACCTCGTAGGAAAAATAACAGAAATAAGTCGAGTGTCCTTTTGAGTCACCTTTCACCGTTAAGTATACTTTCTCTCGCCAACTCGTATTCACGATTCAAAAGACTTTTGTTAAGGTTGCCTATTTTTTCGGGGAAAGTTTTGAGCTCAATGTTATTTTCCCTCTCTCAATCCAGTTACACGAGAGCAGTTTGTGCAGCCGATACCCTCTCCGCTGCACTAACAACTGTGGAGCCTTGCAAATACCACGAGAAGAGGTACCATGAAAGAACTTTTTACCTCTCAACACATCGTATCACTCGTTGTAAAAAAAAAAAATAGCAAAAGACGTTAAGAGTTTAGTCCATAGCCATTATATTCTGGTAACGTAGGTTTGCTGAGTAGAAAGTTTGCAATGATTGGTAATTTCCCTCGCCCAGAAATGGAAACCTATGAAAGAATCACTGAGGAACACTTCGCTGAGTTCTAAAGAACAGTAGGTCTCTCCCCTATCTCAAATAAGAAATTTTGCTGTTCGACTCCAGTTTTATCAAATCTGTCTAATAGAAAGCCACCTTTCCATACAAATATTCTACAATGCCTTAAATCTCTTAATATCAACAATTTTTTCAGCTTTTTTCTTACCTCCACAGCTGAAAAGGCACATTTCCGATCAATGCCCGTTGACTGAGGTGACCTGCCCCTATGCCAAGGCCGGATGCCCTTATAAGGTAGACAATATGTGCGAAATGTGGTCATTAATAATATCATGAACATGTCCGCATGTTCCGACGGAAAAGCGAGTTTGCGAATTTTACCCAGCTGACATTTCGTTATCCTTTTTTCTGACGAGGCAAATCGGGGAAAACCAAGCATTGCAGTTAACAATGTTAACTTGCCTGAACGTTTTTTTTTTCTTCTCTGTGATGCTTCGTTTACGATAGTAAAAGGTTCTTATACCGAGATTATCCATGTCTCTTTGGCCCCGCCTCAGAAAAAAACACGGAAACACGGTCGTCCGTGTTACACTTAACAGTACTTTTGGCCACGCCACTGCAGCATCACAAAGGTGATTTGTGAGCAAGACAACAATGGTGCCACACAAGTTGAGATTAACTCCTTCAAAGCAAGATAATTTACTTTCAGAACGAAAGGGTTTCGTGCTGACGAAGGGTTAACGCTTGAGAAGTCAGCTTTATAAACTCTTTACGGCGCCCAATTTACAGTATCAAATCAGGTGATGAAACCAAATTATCTTTATATAACCCCACCGAAGCAGCACCACTGCTTCTCCAGAAACTTTCCCCCTTCTTTCACAGTAATCCGCTTTCAGTCCTTTTTTTTTAAATTTTGGGTATCCTTGTCCCTCTTTAGCTTCTTTTATCTCCTTTTAAATCGCTATGCGATTTCAAACAGATATTGCGAGTACCTAATTTTCAAAATCACAGTTCTAATAATGTACAAATTAGCCTTAAACATGAGACCATGGGGAAAGAACTATTGTGTTTGAGGGGCATATTCTCCGTAGCCACGAAGCGATATCTCATGTTTTACGCTAAAGTCTAAAATAACGAAACTGGAGTATTCTACGGTAAGTTGGTTTACAATGAAACGGTCTCCACCTGAGTGACCTCGCTCTTTTAGTGATATCGCTATCACCATGGCAGTTGTAGATATCACTTGTTTGTTTATTGCCAGGATAAGAGAGTTCACCTTAGCAGACATATGGAGACCAGCGTGGATAATCACTTGTGGCTGACATGGTATTCCCTCGTGGAAACAAAACAAGAGCTCGGCAATCTGAAAGATCTGCGACAGAAATATATCAAGGTTCAGCTTGTCAACGAGAGACTGACGCAGTCCTCGGCTGAATTCGTTGAAGAGATTCGCGATTTGTCGGCAGCTGTTAAACGATTGGAGGCACAAAACGCCAAACAAGTGAAGCAGATCGAAGACTTGACTAGGAAACTTGAAAAAGTTCAAAAGCCTGGCAAAGCTCACTCGTCAAGGAAAAGCACGCTTAATAATTCTTACTGAAAAAGTGTTGTTAAAAAAAAAAACCGAAAACCGAAGTAGTCTTAAAGACTGATCAGATCAAAGGCGAAATCTCATGGAGCCTATCGTTGATATCTTGGTATTCAGTTGAAAATCACGGGTGGTCTCTAACCTCTGATTTAAACGGAGAACCAGAATTGCTCTTTTGTTGCTTCACAGTGCTATTATAGGTTGAAAAACTCACCTTTCACCTCCGCCTTATTTTTCCAAAAAGATTTCATGATGTGATCTTAGACGTTTTTGCCTCAAGCCAAAACTAGCTTATATTTACATTATTTGCGCTATACTGCTAATTGAAGTCGGTGATGGCGGTCAAACTGTTTCAGCTTTCAAACAACTAGTAAAAATAAGTCTGGTACGTCATACTGTTCTATAGAAGGTTCAGCAAGGCAAGGCACCCTCAGACGTAGAGATTTGGAACGGAGTTTGTCGTTAAGAGTTTCCCTTACATATCACTGACCCACTCGGATTTCTCTTCAATAAAGAAAGCTTCCTAACCCTATCAGAACTTTGATGTAATTTAATACATTGAAATGTTTTCCTTACGGTGGTACAGTCGATGGGATGTACGAGGCCGTTTTGCGTCAAGAAAAAAATTACGTTTTCGATCGGAAATAGTGACATATTGCGTGTAAATTTTTTACTTTAAAGGTAATAATAATATAGCTTAAGATAGGATGTGTTGTAGTTGTTCGAAGACTAGCTCAGATTTGTGACGAACGAGTACTAATCTGACAAAACGAACCAGCCATTTTGATTAGTTTTATTGCGAGAAGGAAAAGTTTCTATTGAGTCTTTATAGAAAAGATCCATTTCTTTTCTCGTGTTTTTCTTGCTCGTAGTCATAGAAGTTTCGATTAAGACTTTGTTTTAATTTCTCAGTGATCAGAATATTAGTGTCTTTAACATTTAAACAAATACAGTAATCACTGTTCGGTTGGCTCTTGAGCTGTTGTGACAAACCGCTTCAATCGCAACCAGTTTAGGTTGAGGCAATTGAAACTTTTCCATTAGGACACTTCTCCAACTGACTTGGTTATATATAGACTCCAGGGATTGGTCATTGTAAGACTTTTGCGTGTTGAAAATTTGAGGAAAGGCTGTTTTTCACAATCAGAATTTAAAAAATAGCCCTTTTCGTTTAAGCCGTTTCTCTGATTTGTTTGCAGTCTAAGACTGCGTGTAGCTTTTGATATCGCACAATTTTTATAGCATCGAAAAGAACTATAGGGTAGCTAGACGCTAACGAGTAGTGTTGCAAAACATTTGTATTCACATGCAAAACAGAAAACCGCCGCATCTCACATATTTTTGAGGACCCTGTTCCACAAGAGAAAGATGATTCGAGAATATAATGACTAACTGACATCCAATCAGTAATGAAATAGTTATAACAAATTATCATATCAACATATATAATAGTCATTAAGATATCAATAGTAATATAATAATGATTTAAAGGGGCCAGCTCGAAAGCCTCACGGTTCCCTGCTCCTCAACGCACTTATAATGATTAAACCCTGCTTCTTAAAATTTTGCTTGTTAATTAATAATAGTTTTCTTGACATAGCGCAATTCCATTTTTGCGAGACTTTTTTTTATACAAGGCTCCAGCGTTTTGTATTAAGATACTCCGTCATTCCACAGTTCCATCATTCCATTTACCGTAAAGATTCCATTCACTAAGCCCCCTTCTTCAATAAAGGACCCTCCCTTTGAGTCTGTTTTTGCTAATAAGCGACCCTATCAGTGTTAAGCACTGTCACTCCAAAAAAGCGACCCTATCAGTGTTAAGCACCGTCATTCCAAATAAGCGGCCCTATCAGTGTTAAGCACCGTCACTCCAAATAAGCGACCCTATCAGTGTTAAGCACCGTCACTCCAAATAAGCGACCCTATCAGTGTTAAGCACCGTCACTCCAAATAAGCGACCCTATCAGTGTTAAGCACCGTCACTCCAAATAAGCGACCCTATCAGTGTTAAGCACCGTCACTCCAAATAAGCGACCCTATCAGTGTTAAGCACCGTCACTCCAAATAAGCGACCCTATCAGTGTTAAGCACCGTCACTCCAAATAAGCGACCCTATCAGTGTTAAGCACCGTCACTCCAAATAAGCGACCCTATCAGTGTTAAGCACCGTCACTCGAAATAAGCGACCCTATCAGTGTTAAGCACTGTCACTCCAAATAAGCGACCCTATCAGTGTTAAGCACCGTCACTCCAAATAAGCGACCCTATCAGTGTTAAGCACAATCACTCCAAATAAGCGACCCCATCAGTGTTAAGCACAATCACTCCAAATAAGCGACCCTATCAGTGTTAAGCAGGGTCACTCCAAATAAGCGGTCCTATCAGTGTTAAGCATCGTCACTCCAAATATGCGCTCCTATACCAATAAGAACATCTATGCTATTTCAGAGATAGCACTATTAGAGAACCTGCTAATCGACATCAAATGTGGTTCACCTTTTTTTTAGTTGCTTACTTAAAGCTTCATTACAAAAACAGTGGTCTTCATCTCAGTCTCGGAAATGTTGCATTCGTGTGAGTGCACAGTTCCTTCAAACGAATGATCTCGTCTTCACGATTAATATCTTCGATGATTGCTTGCGTGATCGCTGTAGCCAGGAAGAATCTATGACAACAAGTCCGTTTCCAAATCTTCTTGATCCTTTTTAGATAAACATCAAAGCTTTGTTTCGCACATTCTGCTGTTTCTGAAAAAAGAAACGGCGTTTCGAATGAGCACTGTCCCTCTAGGAAACAAAAGAAAGTAAGTTCCTCAGGCGCTTAATTATTTCATTTCCGCCGGTTGTTAAGATATTCTTGAAAGAGAAAATTTTGTTTTTCATCACGCACCATCCTGAAAAAATTGTGAGATGTTTACCGTCTTCTGCTGTCCTCTGTAGTGTCACAGCAAGAAATAAAAACATTATTCGCCAATGGCTGTAAGCCAGAGATCACAAAAGGAGAAAACTCAAATGTGTATCGAGTGCAAATGTCGAGCTATCGGAACACTTCGGAGAAATAAATAAGATGGACCGGGAAACATCGGTCAAAATGAATCAAGATATGAATTTTATCATTACTTTGCATCCCTAAATATCGCACTCACCCATCCCCGCAGTATATTGGCTTCGCATATTATATTATAGAAGGCAGTGAAAATCGGAAACTTCGGTTTAAAGTAAAAAGTAGGACATTAGTGTCCGAAATCGAAAAAAAGAGACAATAGTGCCTGAAATCAAAAACGGGACATAAGTGTCCAAAATCAGAAATCAGACTCTAGTGACTTTGATCAAAAAGTGGCCATTAATGTCCAAAGTGAAAAATCGGACACAAATGTCCAAAATCAAAAATCGAACTAGAAGAGCAAGTGCAATTTTGGCGAATGGGTGCTCAGTATTTTCTCAGCAGAATCATAACTGCCACATTCTATATTTACGGAAGGCAGTAGGCTGGGGCGAGAAATAAATTTACACCAAGGGGGTGGCGCATTTCCCCATCCACACCCTCCAACGCGCACTCCGACTCGAACTATGGATATGGTTAGTCAAACAAACAATAGCGAGTTTGTAAAGTCAGTGAACTCGCGCCCGCCTCCACCGCAAGCTAACGACCTAAATATTGTTTCTTAAAAAGTCTAACCCAGAGGGAACCTGGCATTAATGTTTTAGATATGCATGGTGAAATACCACAATCATATTCACTAAGTAATTACAAGCTCTCCAGGAATTGAAATCTCCTCGTCGAGTGATAACCAAATCTTTTGTGACACCAGCGAGCCTAATTTTTTGCAGAAATATTGATTTTTTTTTTTTATCGAAATCGCCAAAATTTCCTCCATTAATTTTTATAGCTCACATTTTGCTAGCTTTCCAGTGCTAGTAGGCTTAAAACAAATCCCTTTTCTCGCTGCGGTCCATCAACCAAGACCTGACAGCCGGCCTAACAGGCCCACATATAGGACACTTGCTTGACTTCTACTAGAGACTTAGAAACTCTCATCTCATGCCAATCAGTGTGTATGCATATTTTGCAATTCTTTAAACCTACACTCTTTCCTACATTGATTTATTTCCTACTCTGCTGCAGACTCTCAGTCGATGTAGACGGGCAAATAGCAGACAGGTAAAACGGAACGCAAAAATTAAGATCATAAAATCCTCTGGGATATTTTCGCAATAAAGCTATTATCATTTTAAAAAGAAATTAAATAACTTTTCATCTCTTCCTAAGAGAAAAACAAATTTTTAAAACCGACAGGCGTTGACAGAAAAGGTCGCTCACCGACCTAAGATGATTATTATGATATGATTATTATGATGGACTCCTTAAATAAAGCTTCTTTCCGAGAAAATTAAATTTGAGATTTAAAAGGCCTCTGTTATTGAAGTCCTTCAAAGGACTATATACCCACACCGTACGAAAACGGACCATTTAGATAACAAATATGAATAAATCATCTTTAAAAACGATTTCGTAAAAATTAAAAAGTTTTATTTACATAGTGAAAACGATGAACAGTCATAATTGGGTGACCTTGACATTCACCCGCTTACGTGTTTGTTAACATTACTCAAGACTCTGCTTAGAAACGATTTTTAACTCAGGAGACGAAACGGTTCCATCATTTGGATTATGACGTCCCACATATAAATAATGAGCAATTATGTCTTTTGTAATAAATCTGTCTTTGCGGGATCGGATCAAATTCTTGAAACTTTAGCATTTTTACAGTAATCCTTGTATAAGATTTGCGGTAAACAGTCACGAGAAAAATCTATTAACCATAGGAAATGCTTCTGATAAGAAACCTGACGTCTTGAATAAGCCGTCTAAAACGCGGACAGGCCATTTGAAATAAATCTACATCTTGACGTCGATTCGAATCTTTACATTCTTTTTGCATCTGTAATTTCATCTTTAAAACTAAAAATTGTTTTAAAAAGTGCTCTGAATTCGCCGTTTTTTTAGTGAAAGACCACAAGACAAAGAGCGG